GGAATTTGAGTGAAAAGAAAATATAGGCTTACTGAATTTATTTAATAAATTCAATACAATACATTTTAAAATACGATTTGTGGGAGGGTCTTGTACGGCGAATATAGCCTGAAACTTACATTTAACTTGAAAATTTGGGAGGTCGTCTTATACGGCCAGTCGCCTTGTATGCCAGCTATATATTCTACTATAAACATGTACATATAAAAATCATATATAAGAATTAAGATTTGCATGAAAGATGTACAATTAAAATTTGTAAGTATGATTTAAATATAAGATTTATAAAGATTTTCAGATTTTACAAGTTTTTTGAAGGGTGTTTCTTATTTAAAAATAAGATATTTCAACAATTTTGCAAACTTAAAGCAACTTTTATATTGTCCCAGTTTTCTTTGCTTCTGAAAAATCTATTCAATCGTTCTCGTTTTCATTTCTCCTGACACGGCAAAATTATGAAAAATTCCATCCCATTACACGTTCGCAAAAGACAATGCTCATATAGGAAGTCGTATGGTGGGATCGAACACCGGAAGTGATAAGCCGGCTGCAGGTTGGTGGAGAGGTCTTCCTTCCGACCTAATTTTATCTCATCTGCGCATACCACGTCACTATAAGAAGACTCGTTCTGATTAATATTACCGTTCCTACTAAAATTCTTTTGGTCGGAGGAATGGTTTTTATAGCGGTGGAGGAGAGTGATAAAAAAAAAAAGGAAGAACCCAAATAAAAGCTCCCCCCCGCAAAAAAAAAAACGAAAAAGAAAAAAAAAAGACTGCAAGTAAAATAGGTTGGGTTACAGAAGATTTGTGAGGAATCAAAGAAGGGACAAAACGAATTAAAATTTGAAAAAGTTGCAGAAAATTCAATGAATGTGAAATTCCGAAGCCAATTAGTTGGATTTGTGCCATTTTGTTTTTTTCATTTTCTTTTTAAACTTCATAAAAATTTCTTTCATTAAAAAAAAACAAGCATACATTTTTCTTCGGGAAAGTCAGCGTTCTGAAAGTAATGGTACTGTAATCATTCGATAGTCCGGACTACGATTTGACTATTCGTACATGAGAATACCGAAAAGACTTCGACCCCTGTAAATTACTCAACCCCACCCACTGTTCGTATGTGGGTGTCCTATAAAGTAACCGACTCACCTTTTTCTACTGCAGGTAGTGACCCTATACGAGCGCTTTCGTAAGTGTGTCTGCGAAAAAGTACTTGCCTCAACCTGATCTGCGGACGTGTTAGCGCTGAATATTTCTCGGCCTGAGACAAAATTCTGATAAAACATCAAAATCTATTTTGAGAACCTCTTCTTGATTAAGTTGGGAACTTTACAGACCCCCACCCTCGTAGAATAAGGAATAAGATAGTCGACCACAGTCGGGGGTCATCGAATCACTGCAAATGAACCTTTCCTTGGCTATATAGTATGTGCTTCAATGGGGCTACCTACTAAAATGAGAACGTTTCAGGCATCAAAACCTCAAGATTGAGTTCAAGCATTAAACACACAATCGCTAATAGGTGTTGACCTCAGTGCCCATATATATATATATATATATATATATATATATATATATATATATATATATATATATATAGAGAAGGACAACTCTGAATTCAAAACCTGGGGAGGGTTGTTTGGGAACCTTGTGGCACGTAGTGCACCAGGTCTTTGTATTCGGCCCTTCAAAAATTGTGGATGGTCCTGCACGAGGCCTTCAGCAATATAATCAAATCTCATGTGCTGCTGTCGGGCTGTCAGTTTCCTGCAAACTGATATGCTTGACCCTCATACTTCGAACGAGACGGGAGAATCGTTTATATATCAATCCAACCAAATATGTTAGCTCTATCTCTGATATTGAGCGCTTTCTAAGAAGTACCGCACATATAATATATAAATAATTATACATATATTTATATTTATATACACACACTTTCATATATATATATATATATATATATATATATATATATATATATATATATTAGCTCTGTCTAACCACACTAAGCATTGATTTGTTTACATCTTATATTGAGTATATATGTATTCGCTTACCTGAGTATGCACGCTAATGCACTGATTTGAACCACATTAATACTACCTACATACACTACACACACACACACACACACACATATATATATATATATATATATATATTATGAAAAAGACTAAATTCCGACAATTATTTTAATTTATTTTTTGTTTATACGCTATTTTTAGAGATACAAATATTTAAGTAAAAGCTCTGTTCATAATAAACAGTATTAACTATATTTACTGGCTTGAATGAATGTACAAATTTATTTTAAAATATATGTCCTCCGACAGGAATCGAACCTGTATCCTACACGCAACCGACATACTTCTATGAAATTTCTCTTTCATGTTAGACGCAGTCGTCGGTCTGACGATTGCGTCTAGCATGAAACAGCCTGTCGCCTCTGAATTTTGACTTCAATTTTCACTTTTATATTTACATCTGATATCCTGCTATTGCTCTGATATTGAGCAATTTATCGCATAAATACAGCATACCTTAAACTCTCTCTCTCTCTCTCTCTCTATATATATATATATATATATATATATATATATATATATATATATATATATATATATATATAAATATATATATTGCATAAAATTAAAAATTAAAAGATACATTAACCAAAAAAAAGGCTTAGACAATTCGGCAAAATGTATGATTTTTTCCAATCTGTCTTGTCCACAGAATTATCTGCGTTTCGTTTTCCGATACAAATTTTTTTAAGGCAAAAAAATAAAATTTCACTGAAAATACTGTTTTTGTTGTTATAGTTGCATTAAAATTAAAAACCTTTTCCGTTTATAAAAAAAGTCATTTGTTTACATTCATGAAATAGAAAAAGGAATGTAACATTCCAAGATTGTAAAATAAAACAGTAAATTTTTTTTCACATAAGGTTCATGGTCGGCCGAGTGGTCAATATATGACAGATATGCAGGTTCAATCCTGTCTATGAACGAATTTTTTTCTCGGAATTCAGGCCGGTATATATATATATATAAAACAGAGCATATATATATAAAACTCAACAACGTATATAAAAAATATATATATATATATATATATATATATATATATATATATATATATGTTCAACCTCTAACTCAAAATGCAACATTGTAGCATATGTCATATTAAATAGGTCAACTCAAACCTTAAAAATCTACTGAGTATAAATCCTCAGCACTTCTTCCTACACTCCCCCCACCCACGCCACCATTACATGCTTATAATTTTGAATCTTCCCCTTTCTTTCTTTTTCTCCCTCTCCCTCAATACGATATCTATATATTTTAAATTTAACCTGGAATATTTTTCCGTTTATATTTGGTTTACAGGTCTGAAAGATTGAAGGCTATTTTTTTAGCTTTCATGAAATAAAAGATTATTACCTATGGAATATTTTTGGAATTTATTATTTTATATATTTTATATATATATATATATATATATATATATATATATATATATATATATATATATATATATATATATATATATATATATATATATATATATATATATATATATATATATATATATATATATATATATTAAAAGATATTTTTGTAGGTACAAAATTTAATGATCGAAATAAAAGTATAAAATTTAATATTAAAGACATATTAAAAACAATATTAAATAATAAAAAAAACTCAACAACAAGGGGGGGGGGGCCAGTGGGTTTATGCCCCGCTCGTCAGGGCTTCCACGGGAGATTCAATATTAAAACAGAGAAATGTACAATGTGAATAGGTGGAAAAAAAAATTACACATATATATATATATATATATATATGTTTGTATATGCAAGAAAGAACTAGAAATATATATATATATATATATATATATATAATCCAAGTAACTTCACATATATAAGATCTCACAGAAATATATGCTAGATAGATACATAGATAGATAAATATTAGTGGATAAATATACATATATATGAAAAAATATAAATATATATACATACATGCATACACATATATATTTTGTTTAATCCAGGTAAAACTCAAAAGTCCAGGAAAAAGTAAGAAGAAAAAATTAAAATTCCATGGTTAGATACGGAAAAGATTCCATTGACTCGTAAGAAAAAATTGAAAATCAAAAAATCAAGACCTACAAATTCAAAAAAGTTTGAATTGAATTTGTAGGTCTGATGAATTGATACGTATTTACGATTCCAATGGAATATATTAAATGGAATATTAGAAAGGAAAGCAAAAGGAAAAGGAAGATATTATATATATATATATATATATATATATATATATATATATATATATATATATATATAAGCATATATATGTGAAGAAAAGGAATATATATATAAAAGAAAGAGACATATATATATATATATATATATATATATATATATATATATATATATATATATATATATATATATATATATATAGTTTTTTGTAACTGAAAATGTTTTGGGGTGCTATATCTCTTTTCTCTTTCTTTTTTCCGAAAAGAAAAGGAAATCCCCACACTGTTTTCATCCATCTGTTCACTTTGCCTTGAACGAAGCAGCAGCTGCGGTTTGAAACTGAACCCCTAACGCTTACCCATTCTGTGAAAGCTACAAAGCTCGGCGGCCAGTGGTTTATGTGGCGTTAGTTTGATATTCAAGGCCCTCTACTGGGTTTGATGTACGATAGATGAGTGGAAATGGTGAAATGCCTTCCACTCTGTTTTCTGTTCGCTCGCTAACACTCTTAAGAACAGATAGCTCTGATATGTTGAACAGCTCCTTCGTAGCTAGGGGCTCTTTAGCTCTGTACATCTGCAGAAAGACGGAAAATGGAAGGAGATTGTGAGTACTGGTAGTGATAAAGTAATAACGAAAGATATGAACAATGGACTTAAAGCAAAGATCTGAATGGAAATCGGAAAAGAGGACAGACAGCAGATGGGAAATGATCCTTGTGTCGATCAATTATTATCTTTAATGAAGATGAAAAAGTAAATAAATTGAGAAAAGATGAAATCAACAAAGGAATGAAAATTGAATAAAAAAAAAAAAAAAAAAGGAAGAAAGATAGGCGGAACGGACAACAAAATGAAAGGAGAGAAAAAAAAGAAAACAAGAGAAAAAATATGGTAAAGAAGAGAATGGCGCAATGAGAAAAAAAGTAAGAAGAAAAAAATTAAAACCTTGAAGGATGACAGATATGGAAAAGAAGGCGAAAAGAGAAAAAGTGAAGGAGAAAAAATGAAAATGAAAAATGAAGAGGTATAGAAAAAACGGCAATGGGGAAAAAGAGAAAATGGAAAGAAAAAAGAAAATGAAGAAAGAAGCGATATGGAACAGACGATAATTGGGAAAAGGAGAAAAAGGAAAGCAAAAAGGAAAAGGAAGAAAGAAGAGTTATGGGACAGACGATAATTGGGAAAAAGAAAAAAAGGAAAGCAAAAAGGAAAAGGAAGAAAGAGGAGATATGGAACAGATGATAATTGGGAAAAGGAGAAAAAGGAAAGAAAAAAGAAAGAAAGAAAGAAGAGATATGGGACAGACGATAATTGGGAAAAGGAGAAAAAGGAAAGAAAAAAAAGAAAGAAAGAAAGAAAGAAAAAGGAGAAATGGAAAAAGAAAGATAATTGGGAAAAAAGAAAAACAAAATGAAAGAAGAAAGAAGAGATATGGAACAGACGATAAATGGGAAAAGGAAAAGAAAAGGAAAGAAAAAAAGGAAAAAAAAAGAAGAAAAGGAAGAGAAAATGGGACAAAGAAAAGACGATAATTGGGAGAAAAGAAAAAAGGAAAGCAAAAAGGAAAAGGAAGAAAGAAATAAAGAGATATGGAACAGATGATAATTGGGAAAAGGAGAAAAAGGAAAAGAAAAAGAAAAAAAAAAAGAAAAGAAGAAGAGATATGGGACAGACGATAATTGGGAAAAGGAGAAAAAGGAAAGAAAAAAGAAAGAAAGAAAGAAAGAAAGAAGAGATATGGAACAGATGATAATTGGGAAAAGGAGAAAAAGAAAATGGAAGAAGGAGAGATATGGAACAGACGATAAATGGGAAAAGGAGAAAAAGGAAAGAAAAAAGGAAAAGGAAGAAAGAAGAGATATGGAAAAGACTTTAAGGACGTAAAGAGAAAAAGAAAAGAAAAGTAGAAAACGATAAAGTATGACAGATATGGAAAAAAATAAAAGAGAAAACCGAAGAAAATGGAAAGTTTGACGAATCGCAAATCTGGAAAAATAAAGGAAATGGAACCACGTAAAAAAATGGAAAAAAAAAAAAAAAAAAAAATGAAGAAGGAATAGATGTGGAATAGAAAGGAAGTGTGAAAAGATAAAAGGAAAGAAGAAAAACAAATTGTTGATGACAGATATGAAAGAGAATGAAGGAGGAAAAAAAAAAGGAACGGATGAAGAAAATGAAAAATTTGAAGCATAGGCGATATGGTAAAGAAGGAAAAGGAAAAAAAGGGAGGATGAAGAAAAAGGAAAATATTGGAGGGTGACAGATATGGAAAAAAAAAAGAAAAAGGAAAAAGAGAAAAAGGAAAAAAAGATGAAGAAAGAAGAAATATGAAATAGAATGAAAGGGCGAAAATTGAAAAAGACAAACGAAAATGAAGAACGAGATGACCAGAAATAGGAAAATGGAGACAAGGACAAGAAATTAAATGTTTACATGGAAAATGAAAGAACAACAGAAGACAAGCAAAGATAATTTGAAGAAAAAATCGGAATAATATAAAGAATAAAAAAGAAATTGAAAGAGAAAAAACAATATTGAAATGATTAAAAGAGAGGCTGAACGAATGAAAGACAAAACATTAAAAGGTGAAATAAGAAAGGAAGAGAGGGAGAAAGGAAGAGAGGGAGATAGATAGATAGATAGATAGATAGAGAGAGAGAGAGAGAGAGAGAGAGAGAGAGTGAAAAAAGAGAAGCCAAAAGAGCTAAAGTAGAGAGAAAAAAGAAAGGTGACAAAACTTGGAGTGTGAGAGAAAGAGAAGAAGAAAAAGAAGAAGAAAAAAGAAAAAGAAAAAGGAAACACAAATAGCAGGAGAAACGGAAGATTTCGCAGATGTCAAACGTCTCTTGAAGAAGTGGTAGTCGAAATGTAAGAAGAAGAAAAAAAGAAGAAACGAGGAGGAAATGAAAAATATGAAATTAAAAAGAAAGTAAAAAGAAAGAAATTGAAAAGAGAAGAATGAAAAGATGAAAGAAAGAGAAGAGAAACGGGAGGCGAAATATGAAAGAAGAAAAATTAGAAGCAAATATTAAGAAAATTATTATTAGAAGTAGTAGTAGTAGTAATAGAAAAGAAGAAGAAGAAAAAGAAGAAAGAAGAGAAACGAGGAGGAAATGAAAAAATATGAAAGAAGAAAAAAAGAAGAAAGAAAGAAAGAAAGAAAAAAGAAAAGTAGTAAAGATAGAAAAGAAAAAGAAGAAAAAGAAGAAATGGATAGAAGATAGGATAGAAAAAGGGAATGTGGAAGAGAAAAGAAGTACAACAACAGATTAGTAGTAAAAGAGGAAAAGAAAAGAAAACGGTGAAAAAGAAATGAAAGAAAATGAAAAAAGAAAGAAAGAAAAAATTATTAAATTTGAAAGAAAAAGAAAAAAGAAAAAAAGAAAAAGAAAGAAAGAAAAGAAAAAAAGAAAAGAAAGAATAAAGAAAGAAGAAAAATTAGATAGGAGAAAAGGGAATGTGGAAGAAAAAAAGAAGTACAATAACAGAATGAGAGGAAAAGAAAAAGGAAAAGAAATAGGAGAAAGAAAGAAAGAAAAATGAAAAATATGAAAGAAGAAAATTAGAAGCAGCAACAGCAAAATTATTATTATTATTAGTAGTAGTAGTAGTAAGAAAAAGAAGAAGAAAAGAAGAAAAAGAAAAAACGAGGAGGAATGAAGAAATATGAAAAGAAAAATTAGAAGCAGCAGCAGCAGTATTATTATTATTATTATTAGTAGTAGTAGTAGTAGTACAGAAAAGAAGAAGAAGAAGAAGAAAGAAGAAGAAACGAGGAGGAATGAAGAGAATATGAAAGAAGAAAAATTAGAAAAGCAGCAAGTATTATTATTATTATTATTAGTAGTAGTAGTAGTAGTAGAGAAGAAGAAGAAGAAGAAGAAGAAGAAAAGAAGAAAGAAACGAGGAGGAATGAAGAGAATATGAAAGAAGAAAAATTAGAAGCAGAAGCAGAAACGAGGAGGATTATTATTATTATTAGTAGTAGTAGTAGTAGTAGTAGATTAGAAGTAGAAGAAGAAGAAGAAGAAGAAAGAAGAAGAAACGAGGAGGAATGAAGAGAGAATATGAAAGAAGAAAAAATTAGAAGCAGCAGCAGCAGTATTATTATTATTATTATTAGTAGTAGTAGTAGTAGTAAAGAAAAGAAGAAGAAGAAGAAAGAAGAAGAAACGAGGAGGAATGAAGAGAATATGAAAAGAAGAAAATTAGAAGCAGCAGCAGCAGTATTATTATTATTATTAGTAGTAGTAGTAGTAGTAATAGAAAGAAGAAGAAGAAGAAGAAGAAAGAAGAAGAAATGAGGAGGAATGAAGAGAATATGAAAGAAGAAAATTAGAAGCAGCAGCAGTATTATTATTATTATTATTAGTAGTAGTAGTAGTAGAAGAAGAAGAAGAAGAAAGAAGAAGAAACGAGGAGGAATGAAGAAAGAAGAAGAAAAAATTAGAAGCGAGGAGGAAGTAGTAATGAAAAGAGAGAAGAAGAAAGATGAAAAACGAAGAAAAATTAGAAGAAAATTAGAAGCAGCAGCAGCAGTATTATTATTATTATTATTAGTAGTAGTAGTAGTAGTAATAGAAGAAGAAGAAGAAGAAGAAGAAGAAGAAGAAAAACGAGGAGGAATGAAGAGAATATGAAAGAAGAAAAATTAGAAGCAGCAGCAGCAGTAGTAGTATTAAGAAGAATTA